TAATAAAGATTGTCTTTCTTGATAAAGTTTGGTTTGGTGAGAATATTCCCAATGTAGTACAATAAAAGGAACTACTGCACGCAAAGTAACTTGATAGAATGCAGACTGACGAACTGATCTGTGTTGGTGTTATCAGACTCTGGCCAAATTCACACGCCTCTTTTGAGAAGCAAAAACCCGCCCAAACATGACACGACGTGAGTCTGACTGAAGCAACTGACTCGCTGTGTTTTTACCGTAACATTTTGGTAATGACTGTGAGATTTGAACACCACCGCGACGCGCAATACTCCCCCCTCCCCAATATTTTTCGCGAACACGTCCACTAAGTAGACGCACTTGATATTCTTTTGTGTGTTTGGACATAGTATTTAGACATATATATTGTACCGGCGCATACATCACAACCACATTCGACCTAGGTAGAGGCACACTACGTCTCCTTCAATTTTTCTTATTTGGGATCAAGCTACTGCTGTATTAGGAATCAAAAAAAAAAAAAGTCGCAACACGTGTATAGGGAACTAACAAACAAGAGCTGCAGCTGAAGAATACTCATCACGTGAATCGAGAAAATGAATGATAATTAGTTTCAGCAGTTGATACAAGATGTATTTCGGTCTTTAGATGATATAATTAACAAGTCGAATGGGACACGAGGAACAGACCCAGCAAGGGCAAGGACGTTTGCCTGGGAAGAGGACAACGATCCGGTAGAATAGCTAGAGGAGTTCGAAAGAGTAGTAGAGATCAATGACTGGAAATATGAGAAAAAGCTTAGGGTGGCTCCGGGATACATAATAGGCCTAGCGATTGACTGGTATAAAGAAAACAAAGCTGGAATTACCACGTGAAAAGACAATATGGAGATAACACAGAATTTCTGGCATGCACTCATAGAGCATTTCGCCACGTCAGAGAAGCGGCACAGGTGACAAATAGAGTTGAATGAATTAAGCCAACGCAGTAATGAGAAAGTGGTTGAGTACGCGACGAAGTTTAAATGCTTGCTTATCAGGATGGACCCGAAAGGAACGATTCCGGGTGATTATGTCATAAGAATGTTTCTAAATGGTCTGAAGGGTAACACTGCTACATTCGTGACCATGACATCATTGAAGAACTTAGCAGAGGCCATCGCGGCGGCACGGAGAGTGGAAGCAGGAAACTACTATGAATGACAAACCTGAGTAAGAGCAAAGGGTACAACGAAATAACTAAAAGCTAACATAGAGAGACTCGAAAGACAAATCAAAGAGCTTACCTTAAGCCACTCGAATCCAAGGAGGATATCGCCACAAGAGTGGAAAAACAAAGAGAGGAAGAGCTTAGTTTATTATAGCTGTGGAAAAGAGGGCCATATAGCTTGACGATGCCTTGAAGGAAAAGTATTTAATGAACCTCTGAAAACTGTGACCCCGCAGGTGCAATATTGTTACAAGAAAGAGGTTGAGGAAGAATACGAAGAAGAAGAAGAGGAAGCATACATCCTGGGGGCCACCATGCCGATAGTGAAAAGAAGGGGCCGACTGAGACGCCCGGAGAAGAAAAGTGTAGACGAGTCGCAAAAAGCATCAAAATATATAAGGATGCAGGAGCCAATGGTAATTGTGGAGCCCCCCAAAGCAATGGGAGCCACTAAGAAGCCATGACGAAAAAGGTTATCATTAGTGGTGGATTTGCTAGATCCATACGACATCTCAGAGGACATCCTATTCATGAAAGCAAACGCAACTTACAGGCAACTACTGAAGTACACCGATCAGTGGCGCAACCTTTCGAAAATATTGAAATGGGCAAAACCCCTGGCGGAATCAAACCAAGTAAACTCAATAGATACTTCTAAAACAACTGCAACTAAATGCTATGTGCAGATCGGAAACCAGATAGTAATAGCTACTCTAGATACAGGAGCAGCGGTAAGTATCGTTACGAAGAAATTGTTAGACAAACTTCAGCTGAAGATCAACAAGAAGTCGACATCCGTCGTCATCACTGTGAATGGGATAAGGGAGAGGACTCTAGGAAAAGTAAAAGAGGTAGGTATAACGGTGCAAAAAGTAACCATCCTCGTGACACTAAGAGTCATAGAGTCCAGAGATGAGATGTTATTACTCGGAACTGACTGGTTCCAAAGAGGGAATGCCAGGATCCACTTCGACGAATGGAAAATACTGTTGAGGTATCGAGGGGAAGAACTGGAGATACCAATCTCACACAATGGCATAGAGGGGTTAGTGCAGCCCAACGAATTGGAAGTAAGTGATGACGAGAGTGAAGATACCTTCGACAAGTTGGAGTATGAGAGCGAGGACGTAGAAGAGGAAGAAGGGTATTATACAGGGGAACGGTCCGAGGAGAAAGAAACGATAGACAAAGGGATTCCGAACTTAGCAGTATATCTGACTGTCCTAGAGAAGATACTAACATTGGAGAATGACGAGGAATATGAGGACGAGAAATCAAAGGTGGACCTAATTGGCTTGACAGAAGAGGAACGAGAAGATGCAGCAAAACTTTTCGAAAGAGAAAAAGGATTATTTGCTGAAGAGCTAAATGAACTTACCCAGATCAACGTGATCCAACATGAAATTGATACGAGTGACACGAAACCGATCAAACAAGCACCCTATAGGTTGGCCCGGATGAGCACGAATATGTAAAGAGGAAGCTGACGAAAATGAGAGACCAGGGCCTGATACTAGAATCACAGAGCCCCTAAGCATCATCAATTGTAATGGTGCCAAAAAAGAATGGTAAGCACTGCCTATATGTGAACTATCAGAAGTTAAATGTGGTAACCAAAAAGGACGTGCACCCCTTACCCAGAATCGATGATTTAATCGAGGCCCTTGGGCAGGCAAAGTGGTTCTCAAACCTTGACCTCGCTAGTGGGTACTGGCAAGTGCGAGTCCAGGAGAGAGACCACAAGAAGATGGCTTTCGTGACAAAGTTTGAAACGTACGAATTCCAAGTGATGCCGTTTAGGCTATGCAACACTCTGGCTATATTCTAGAGACTGATGAATAAGGTACTCTACAATCATATTGGCAATTCGTGGCCATATATCTCGATGACATCATCGTGTACTCACGGATGTTTCCGGAACACACTAGTTATCTGGCCTGTGTTTTTAGAGAGCTACAACAGGCCTCGTTGAGGTTGAACGTGGAAAAATATAAGTTTTTCTTACCGAATGTAGGGTATCTAGGCCATGTCGTGAGGAGAGACGGCATCCGGCCAGACGAGGACAAGATAGTGAAGGTAAAAGACTTTCCAGTACCAGGGAATGTGAGGCAACTACGAAGTTTTATTGGGCTTGCCTTCTACTATCAGAGGTTTATTAGCGGATTCGTGATGATAGCCAAACCGTTGCATCAATTACTCGAAAAAAATGCATGGTATGAGTAGACAGATAAGCAACAGTTAGCATTTGAACGATTGAAGACCTACCTGATGACCGACCCCATTCTCCGGTATCCGAATTTTGAAAAAACATTTTACCTGCATACCGATGCATCCGGAATGGGGTTAGGAGCTGTGTTGGTGAGATCGATGACGCAAGAAGGGAATATACAATCGCATATACCAGTAGAAGTTTGACGAAGGCCGAAAGGAACTATGCTGCGATGGAGCAGGAGTGTCTAGCCGTGATATGGGAAATTGAATATTTCCATCACTATCTCGGCACGAAACCATTCGTGGTGATAACTGACCACTCTGCACTCAAGTGGCTGGAAACTTCCAAGCTAAAGGGTAGAAGAGTGTGATGTATCCTCTGTCTTCAACCGTACCGCTATACAATAGTCCATTGCTCAGGACGGAAGCATTCGAATGCTGATGCGTTATTTCGTTTAACATCAGAAAATTTTTGAACAGAAGAACTCCGTATATCTCTGCATATCTCCGTTGTCGTTAGAGATCTCCGGAGTATCAAAATATATATATATATATTTCGAAAATCTCCATAAATTTATTTCCTCCGGAGATTTTCGAAGGTTTTCGCAAATGTTTATAATATTTTGAAAACCTTCAAAAACCTTTGAAAATCTCCGAAGGAAATAAATTTTCGGAGATTTTCGAAATTTATATATGTTTTTTTGATACTCCGGAGATCTCTAACGACGGTGGAGATATTCGGAGTTCTTCCGCTCAAAAAATTTCCTGATGAACCGTCCAGGAGAAACGGAAAAGTAGTGTCACCGGCGGGGAAGCAGGAAGTCGAGATGAATAGTCTGACTTATCTGGACCGCTAAAGAGGACTTAACTTATCAGAACGACGTGAAGGGTGCCACTAATCTTGATTCGTTCAACCACCACTATAGAATCTGACGGCAACCACTATGAGACGAAAAGTGATAGCAATAACAAAACAACAAAATGACAACGACAATAGAAATACGCGACAGCAATTGACACGACATCAAAAAAAAAAAAACAAAACAAAACGAAAAGAAAAATCCGAGGAACAGAATCCAGTCCAGGTTCCGGTGTCCTGGCTAGAAAAAAAAAAAAAAAAAAATCTAGAAATGCGATAGACAAAGAATGATATATAAAGTTGAAAAGATACCTATAAGAACAACGGTTGTCGACAGGATGCTCGCGGCAACAAGCCCAGAAGATACGGGCACAGAGTAACTTTTTCGCGGTAAAGGAGGGAGACGTTTATAAGAAAAATAAGCACCGACCAAGAAACCTACTAAAGGTGCTACGACATCACGAGTTGGGGCCGATATTATATCTTACACATAATTATCCACTGGGAGAGCACTTAGGGAAAAACATTATATTCAATAAAATCCCAAATTTGTATTATTGGCCACAGCTATATGAAAACATCCGTACGTATGTGCACTTCTGCGATCGCTGTCAGAGGAGGGGAAAGAACAAGCAGCAGGAATCCCTCCATCCTATACCCATCAGAGAACCATTCACTAAGATGGGGATTGACATAGTGGGATTCCTGCCTGTGACCTTCAGAAAGAATTGCTATATAGTAGTTGCCACTGATTATATGACCAAGTGACCTGAGGCTCGTGCCCTGGGGGAAGCAACAGCATAGAAGGTGGCAGAGTTTGTGTATGACGAAATAGTATGCAGACACGAATGTCCGACGTACCTGCTGTCGAATCAAGGGGCGAACTTTCAGAGTCGCATGTTGAATGCATTTCTGGAAAAGTTCCGCATCAACCACTTCTATTCTACACCATACCATCCGCAAACCAACGGATTGGTAGAGCAATTCAACCGCATGTTGTGTAAGTCGATCGCAAAACTAGTACATAATATGGTGGAGTGGGATCTGATGATACCATCCACCCTGTTTGCGTATCAAACAGCGTGGCAAGGAACAATAAAGATGACGCCATTCTATCTAGTCTACGGGAGGGAAGTGCGAACCCTGATTCATCACCAGGGAAGCAGCGAGCAATTAGAAGGGACGATACTACAGTGGGTCTTTGATTTGGTGGAGGTGTTGCCACAACAATGGAAGGACACAGTGATATGCGTAAACACGGCACAGCAAAAGTTAAAAACCTGACATGACCAGACACTAGTCCAAATTGGATTATTCGGCTGCCGAATTATAGCCGATTAAATCCAAATTTATTAATAAAAGTTTATACTGAAGTTT